CATAATTATTTTATAAATATTAGTAATCAAGAAAGTATAGAATTTTGCAAATTACAATACCTTCTATAATAAAATTCATATTTCATATGAATTGCCAACTAATTCCTAATCTAAACAGTGTTAACCATTTTAGGTCATATTTAATTTTAGATAACCAAGGTAGTTATAATATAATAGAAATTTATGTGATAGTTTATTATATGAAGTTGCTACTATAATTCGATTCTTCACAGTATGCACTATTTATCAAAGGAAATTAAAACTGAAATAGATGAAAATAAAACTATTATTTATTACAATCAGTTAAAATTTTTTTTTTAATTTTTAATTTCTTTTAATTTTTTTTTCTAAATTTTATTGTTTTTGTGATTATTATAACAAAGAAATTAGAGGAATTCTTTTTTTTTTTAAAAAAAATATATTAAGGTAACCATTTTGGCCCCTGGCATGTAGCTTTATTTAGATAGTTATGATATTATATCAAATTCATGAGGATATAACTAGCCACACATGTACTTTTAGTACCTAATTTAAGTAGTCTGCCTGGGTTTTACACTAGCCGCTATATCTGCAATCTAACTAGAAGATTACCTATTTAAGCTCTCTGATTATTACTAATAAGAGTATGACTAGCCATATATGCAACTTTTGGTTATCTATTTAAGTAGTCTGCCCTAGATTCCACACTAGCTACCATACCTGCACCCCAACTACAAGTGATGCCTATTTAAGCTTTCTGGCTCTATCTCTGTAACATGCCTCACGCTAAAGTATAAGGAATTCTTAATACTATTACTGTATATGTATTACATGACATATAAGATTATACTGTAAGTGATAAAATTAATACCTTAATGCTATAATATAATAATATAATAATATCATATTATATGTGAATCTTGATATAACAAACTTTTGATATAACAGAAACTAAGTAAAATCTTGGTATAATGGATCAAAGTTCAGATTACACTATAATAAATTCTGTTTGATATAATGGATTTACTAATAAACTCACAATAGTGCAAATTTTAGTTAATTTTTCTCTAATTGTCTATACACATACGTTATATCAAAAGTCATGTATATTTTAATACTATAGTATAATAAATCAGAAATAATAGCAGTCACTATTAGTAAATATCAAAGAAATAATACCTAATACCATTAGCAAATCAATAACAAGATAGCAAGAATTATAGAAAATGATTATATAGATATTTTCTAGAAATCAGTATTCTTGCAAACTGCATCCAAAAATGCTTTTCTTTCTCCTGATCCAAAGAAATTAGTATGTTGTTTTTGTAAAGTAATCTGTTAATACTATTTCTTTGGATTCAAAACAATTACTGCTACTATTAAGATTTAAATAAGTTAGTGTATCTGCTAATGTTTTCACACTTTTAATCCAAGATTTTTTTTCTAACTCACTATTATTATGTCTAAAATTATTACTGTTTTTCTTCTGACTCATGATTATTATATTTCAAGTATACATGTGTGCTAAAATTATTTTGAAAAAAAAGTATTTTCTGCAAACATTTCAGAAAACATTTCAGGATTGCTAAATTTTTTCTATAAAATCCACTATAATAACTATCCTATATAATGTATTTTAATGAAAAGTTCACAAATATGAAAATTAATTTCGGTACTATAAGACTAATTTTGGTTGCCAAAATATCATAATTACTTTTTTTTTTATTAAAATAAGCAATTTCAGTACACATGTATAGTTTCAAGATTCAAAATTGATGTTTTTACAAAAAATATTTGCTAATATTTCTTCTTTTAAGCTATTATATTCAAGATCAAAATAGGTTAGCATAATATGTTTAAATGAGTAAAACAAGATAAATATAGTATTTTAATACACTATTATATTAATTTTAATACTTACCTATTAATTTAAAATAAATAAAAAGTATGATGAGTATACTTGAAATTGTTCCAACTTCACACAGTTTTTACAACCTGGCTATAAAAAATTTTAAAAAGCATTGGTATGACTGGTTATATAGTTGGATAGATGCCGGCTAGCCAAAGGTGCCAAAAATAAATTTAATTAAAGAACATGAAGTTTGCAAAATATATGATAAGTAATTTTAGCTAAGTAATTTGAATTGAAATAATAATATACTTCTAGAAAATTAGCAAAATTGTATTAGATATCATCGTAACAGTAGAATATATGAGAAATAGCATTAGCTAGTGGTTTCTTGTCTGCTTAAAGCAGGCTAGCTTTTAAATAAAAAAATGCCAGAATCAGAAAACTACAATGTGTGGTGGAAGGGATAGGTTAAGAAATTTTCTTGCTTGCCAAAAACATTAAGTTAAAGCAAAAAAGAATGTCAAAGTGTTTTCTGTCAATTCTTTATATATTGTTTCTAATCGATGGCTTTTCTGTTACATATCTCTGGTTATATATTGATTTATATACTTTAATTGATTGATTTATTCTGTGATTCTACTCAGGGTTGTTGCAGTGTTGTGTGCCCTTGACTAGTCTTTACCTTTCTTTTCATTCTATTGACCTTTGTTAATATGCACTTAAGTATATAAAGAAGTATTAATGTTAAATAAAAAAATATTAGATACAGGAATAAGTTTAATGATATACATATATAATAAAATTTTTATAAATTATTATATTAATTGATTACAAGTTATATTGGGTATGTGTTAATTCAGAACGCCTATGAGTGCTAATTTGAGACACTATATGCTATTTAGAGGGGTCTGAATTTTAAAATAATGCCCGTAAGTGTTATTACATGCTTATATGGTACGTATATTTTATCTTTTTTATAAAAGTTTAATACATGTGGCAGATCATAATGAAATTGGATTAAAATAAAACTGGTGACCTTTTTTGCTTATCTTTAAAGTTTATAAAATCTACTTATACTTTTTTATTAATAAAACTAACTCTAAACTCTAACTTTAATACTAACTCTAGCTCTAAAAAATGTTTCTCAAAAAATTTTAAATTTTTCTAAAAAAATAAAAAAATTTCATTTTAATCTGATTTTATTTTAATTTGTTACAATACATAGTTGACAGTAAATTATTGAATCATGGCATTGCAACTTTGCCATAATGTGTATATATTATAGTAATTTGGCTAGTATAGCTATACGTAGCAATTTGTATAGTTTCTATTTGGTTCTATTAATTTATACATATATATGTTGTGCGTCAAATGCATCCTTGCGTCGGATTAGATCCGACGCACGTCAGATGCTGATTTCCATGTGATGCACGTCGCCTGTCAATTAGCCATCTGACGTGCGTAAGTTCTAGTCTGACGCAAGATCTTCAAAATCTATAAATCTGTTTTTGTAAAAAAAAAAAAAAATGTTAACGTTAAAGCAAGTTTAAACGAAAATGTAATAACGACTACAGTATGTAATTACGACTATGTGATTACGTCATTATACGTAAGGGAATAAAAAAAAAAAACTCTTCGCTTTTACCTTGTCTTCTTTTTTTTGGAACTTGGCTTGATCAACGTCGGCTTTCGTATTTGACTTTGACTTTTGCAGTCGTCGTTGGCTTTCGTATTCGACATTGGCTTTACTTCGCATTCGACATTGGTGGTGCTTACTAATTTCTCCACATTCAGCATTGGCTTAATTCTTTGGTCTTACTTATTCTTGGATTTCAGCGTGTCTTCATTTTGCAGTACTTCGTCGCGTCGTAATTTTTTTTTTAGCCTTAACATTATAGTTCTGAACTTGCAATTCTTCTTTGGCGCTGCTTTATAATTTCGGGTTTATTTAGACGTTTGCTTTTTTCTTTGGCGCGCCTATAACTTGATCTTTGTTCTTACCTTCTTTAAACATTGGCTTTGTTCTTTGGCGCTGTTATATAACTCTGGTCTTGCCCTTACCTCGCTTAAGCATTGGTATTATTCTTTGGCGCTGCTTTATATCTTTAGTTTGTTCTTGCCTCATTTAAGTGTTTGCTTTTTTCTTTGGCGCGCCTATAACATTGATCTTATTCTTACTTTCCTTAAGCGTTGGTTTTGACGCTGTTATATAACTCTAGTCTTGTTCCTCTTCCTTAAGCATTGACATTATTCTTTGGCGCCGCTCTATAACTTTGGTTTAGTTCTTGTTTCCTTAAGCGTTTGCTTTTTTTAGTTGGCGCGCCTATAACTTTGATTTTATTCTTACCTTAAGCGTTAGCTTTTGTTCTTTGACGCTGTTATATAACTCCGGCCTTGTTCTTGTCTCCTTTAAGTGTTGGCTCTGTTCTTTGGCATTGCTTTACAACTTTGATATTGTTCCTATAATGGAGTATACGTTCATTAGTAGAAATACTCTTGATCTAATCGTGGAAAAATATATAGCTAACCTTCCAAAATCGAAACAGCAAAAGGCCCTAATAAACAATGAACTTTTAAATAAGATAAAAACTATTCTATTAAATCCAAAGGATACTTCACTCTACGATAAAAATTTACGGTCTTGGGCTAAAAACAAATTCATACTTGAAGAAATTGTACCAGGGGATTACAGAGTACTTGTAAAGGCTACGAACAATCCTGTACTAATAGTTGAAAAGTTTTATGAGGTTCTTTGTCATACCCATGGTGAAATAACACAGCATAGTGGTCAGAGGCAGACGTGGGACTCAATTCATGAAAGATGGGGATATATTAAACAATCAATCGTGGAAGAATTCGTGAACAATTGCACAGCATGCGCAACAAGGAGGCCAGCGTTCCACCCTTTGGCGGCGAAACCGATAATTGCCAAGAATTTTTTGTCTAGGATGCAGGTACTATAAATTTTGTGTTTGTTTGAAACTAAATTAAATTATGTCTCATTATATTTATTACACAGATGGATCTTATTGATTTATCCTACATTCCCGATGGAGAGTTCAAGTATGTGTGCCACGTTAGAGACCACTTTAGTAGGTTTTCGTGGGCCAAGGCACTTACGTCAAAAAGACCAATTGAAGTCGCATCTTTCCTGTTTGACCTTTTTTACATGATTGGATCACCCCCCACTATATTACAATCGGATAACGGCAAGGAATTCGTAGCACAAGTTATCAAGGAATTAATGGCGCTATGGCCATCAGTAAAGATAATAAACGGGCGCCCAAGGCACCCCCAGTCGCAAGGATTAGTAGAACGCGCTAATGGAATCTTGGAGCAAAAGCTCGGCAAATGGAGAGAAACGACTGGTCGAAACGACTGGTCATTTGGTTTGAGGTTCGTTGTGGTTGCCATGAACAATTCATGGTGTAGATCGCATAAAAAAACCCCTTATGAATTGGTTTATGGAGACAAGCCCCGTGGTAATTGTACTCTGGTAAATGAACTTTATACAAATAATATCTTCGACGAAGAGGAAATACCAGATACAATTGAAATCTCTGATGCTGACTACGAAATGGACCTGGATGATGATATGACTGGTATTAAAAATTAACCAAATTAATATAAAGCATTTTATTTATTACAAATTTTCACTTTTTTTTTTTTAGATTTTTTGCTTGACAACATTAACGATCAAGAACAATCACCCGATGGTACTGTTTGTTCAGTCCCATCGCTCAATAATAATATTGGTCACTTTGTGTCTTCGCCCACAAGCCCTGTGTTTTCACCCAGAAGCCTTGTGTCTTCGCCCAGAAGTCCGGTGCAATTACATGATAGTAATGGTAGTTATATTGAGCCTTTTTCTAATAGCTGATTTAAAAAAAAAAAAAAAAAAAAAAATTATTATTATTATTTATTGTGAGTTCATACGAAAAGATATAAGCTTACCTCATGGACGTAGTATTAAAGGGACGACTACGACAATTATGCGCGGGGAAGGAGCGCATAATAAATAGTGAACCGGTATCATCATCTGACAATAATGTTTTGTCTTTGTTCAATAACTGTGGGTAGTATATTCGCCCAATAACTGTAGTTCTGTGTCATCGCCCAATAACCGTGGTCTGGTGTCTTCGCCCCAAAACCCAGTGTCTTTACACGATAATAATGGTAGTTATACTGTACTTTCTTCCAATAACTATAATAATTATTCACGTGGATGCATATGAAAAAAAAAGAATTCATTGTGGGTGCATACGAAAAGAAAAAAAATAGGATTCATTGTGGGTGCATATGAAAAGAAAAAAAAATAGAAGCTTATCTCACGAACGTAGTATTAAAGGGACGACTACGACGATTATGCGTGGTATCACCATCTAACAATAATGTTTGCTTTTGTCTAATAATTGTGGTCTAGTATCTTCGTCCAATAACTATGGTTTTGTGTCTTCGCACAATAACCGTGATCTGGTATCTTCGCCCAACAACTGTAATCTGGTTTCTTCGCCCAATAAATATGGTCTAGTGCCTTTGCCCAATAACTGTGGTCTGGTGTCTTCGCCCCAAAACCCAGTGTCTTTACATGATAATAATGGTAGTTATATTGTGCTTTCTTCCAATAACTATAATCATTCAGTGAATGCATATGAAAAAAAAAAAAGAACTCATTGTGGGTGCATACGAAAAAAAAAGTTCTTTGTGGGTGCATAAGAAAAGAAAAAAAATAAAAGCTTATCTCACGGACGTAGTATTAAAGGGATGACTATGACGATTATGCGCGGGGAAGGGGCGCATAATAATGGCGAACCGGTATCATCATCTAACAATAATGTTTTGCTTTTGTCTAATAATCGTGGTTTAGTATCTTCGCCCAATAACTGTGGTTTTGTGTCTTCGCCCAATAACCGTGATCTGGTATCTTCGCCTAACAACTGTGATCTGGTATCTTCGCCCAATAAATATGGTCTAGTGTCTTCGCCCAATAACCGTGGTCTGGTGTCTTTGCCCCAAAACCCAGTGTCTTTACATGATAATGGTAGTTATACTGTGCTTTCTTCCAATAACTATAATAATCATTCAGTGGATGCATATAAAAAAATATATATATAATTTATTGTGGGTGCATGCGAAAAAAAAGGATTCTTTGTGGGTGCATATGAAAAAAAAAAAAAAAAATAGAAGCTTATCTTACGGATGTAGTATTAAAGGGATGACTACGACATTATGCGCAGGGAAGGGGCGCATAATAAATAATGAACCGGTATCATCATCTAACAATAATGGTTTGCTTTTTCTAATAATTGTGGTCTAGTATCTTCGCCCAATAACTGTGATTTTGTGTCTTCGTCCAATAACTGTAATCTGGTGTC